CAAGTACTTAACCAAGAAAACCCAGGCCGCCAGCGTGGAGGCTGTCAAGATGCTGGACGAGATCCTCCTGCAGCTGAGCGTGAGTGAGCTGGGGGCAGGCCAGTGCTCAGGATCGGGGTCTCTGGCACTGCAGTTGGGCACTGGAAGGTGGGCTGGGGAAGGTGGACTCCAGTGGGGTGTGTATGGAGGGAGCTGGGCCCTGCGAGCTCCCCTGCCCCTGTGCCCTCCAGGCTTCCGTGCCCGTGGACGTGATGCCAGGCGAATTTGACCCAACAAACTACACGCTCCCCCAGCAGCCCCTGCACCCCTGCATGTTCCCACTGGCCACTGCCTACTCCACGCTCCAGCTGGTCACCAACCCCTACCAGGCCACCATCGACGGAGTCAGGTAGCCCCACTCCAGGCTGACCCCTGGCCTTCTGCCTTGGTGGCACCAGGAGGGGAGGGTTGGGCCCAGGGCTGTGGAGGGCCCACCTGGAGTCGGGCTCGGGACTCCCTGTGAGGGTGCCAGGTGAGCTCTGGGCCGGCAGCCGTGGGAGGAGTGCAGACGGTGGCCCCCCAGGGTGGGGTCAGCCGAGCCCTGCCTTGCAGATTCCTGGGGACGTCAGGACAGAACGTGAGTGACATCTTCCGGTACAGCAGCATGGAGGACCACTTGGAGATCCTGGAGTGGACCCTGCAAGTCCGTCACGTCAGCCCTACAGCCCCTGACACCCTAGGTACTGGGACTCAGACACGTGGTGTGGAGCAAAGGGCCGGGGAAGGCCAAAGGGGCTCCTATCATGCTCGGAGGGTTCCCAGCCTGGATTTGCACCCACCAGCCTAGCCGTGACCTGTCTAAGGAAAAGCCCCAAAGCTTGGTTTGTTTTGGGAGCTACTGTGGAATCTTACGTCTGTTCGTGGCCAAGGCCCTGCTTAGGGCTGAAGGCCATGGGAGCACAGTGGGAGCTAGGGCCGGCCAGAGCACTGCACCCTGGCCCGGTGCCCACCCAGAAGGGCGAAGGCGGCAGCGGCAGAGCATACTGCCCTGCCTCTGGGGCCACGTGGCAGTGTGTGGAGATGGTTTTGTTGTGACAGCTGCAGGGCTGCTACAGGGTCACGTGTGTGAGATGGCACCCCGCGTCCTACACGGGACAGCCCTACCCGAGATGTGTAGGTGTCTCCGTGCTGCGGCTGAGAAGCCCCACTCTCAGCTGCGGGTCCTCCTTCTCCAGGTTGTTACCCTTTCTACAACACCGACCCGTTCATCTTTCTGGAGTGCCCTCACGTCTACTTTTGTGGCAACACCCTCAGCTTTGGCTCCAAAATCATCCGAGGTAAGTTTTGTCTTCTGGGGGTCCCAGGCCTGGGCTGAGGCGAGTGACACGCTCTCAGCTGGGGCCAAGGCTCACAGAGAAAGCCTGTGTTGGAGTGTCCAGGCGCCCATGGGTGGACAGCCCAGGCTCTGCAGGGACTGAAACTGTCCCCACCAGAGCTCATTCTGGTCAGTGTGGCTTTAGCCTTGGACCTTTATGGTGTCCTTGGCCCTTTTCGTTTCTGGTCTCAAGGAGCTTCTGTGGTCCACGCTCCCATGGTGCTGATGGGGGGCTCCTGTTCACTTCTGGTGACTTCCCTTTGAGACGGGCCTCACCCAGAACCTAAGGCATGCCCCCACGTGGCTTCTTTGCAGGCCCCGAGGACCAGACAGTGTTGCTGGTGGCTGTTCCAGACTTTAGCACCACACAGACTGCCTGCCTGGTGAACCTGCGCAGCCTGGCATGCCAGCCCATCAGCTTCTCAGGCTTCGGGGCGGAGGAGGAGGACCTGGGAGGCCTGGATCTGGGCCCCTGACTCACAAAGGCGGCCTTGTCCGGAGAGGCCCCGGCTATTCCTTCCCTGTGGCGTCAGCACCATGGCAGCTTTGCCTTTGTAAATAAAGCCCGAGTGTTTACTGGTGTTGAGCTGGGCAGACCCGGTGGCGGGCCAGGGCACTCCTGTGGAGGGAGCCTCCCTCCTCCTCCCCTCTCCCAGCCGGTCAGGATGGCAAGCGGTCAGTGACACATCTGCCGTGAGCTTGGTTTATTGGTGTGGCCGGAGCAGATGGTGGAGAAGTCTGCCCCCACCACCCCCCCACACCCGGGCTCGCTCAAGCTGCCCCAGCCCGGCCCTGCAGCAGAGCGGCCGGTGGAGCAGACGCCTGACACAGACCCTGGCTCCTAGGTCTCCATCACTTCATGCCCCCTCCTGGCAGGGTCCACACCGGGGGTCTTTCCGTTTGCTGATGGCCGCTGAGCAGGCCAGGGCAGTGTGACTACTGGTGCAAGCTCGCGCGTTGGCAGACCTGTTCTCAGAAGTCCCCGAAGTTCACTGTGTAGGTCTCAACTGTGGTGAAGGGGATCTCCTGGCCCGTGACCATCTCTCTCTCCTCCTCCTCACCCTCCTCGGGCGCCAGCTCTGTCCCAAACTCCGTCACCACCTCCGTGTAGGTCTCGGTCTCTGACTCCTCCCAGCCAGCTGTGGTCTCGGGTGGAAAGTGCCAGGGACCCAGGGTAGAACTCGGGGCGGGGGAGGGGGAGAGGGAGGGGGTGGGGAGCAGTGTCGGGGGGGTGGGGGGCGACGTGGGGACGGTGGCCGGGCTGGCGGTGGCGTTCAGGCGCCGGAGCCGCATCTGTTCGCGCATGCGCAGCCGGTACTGCAGGCGGCGGCGTTGCATGCGCCGCTGCTGGGGGGTCATGGGGCGCGACGGGTCGATGTGCGGGATGGGCCGGTTCCCGTTCATGGCCATGATCTCCCGGATGCGCTTCCAGTTGGAGCGAGCCAAGATGAAGTTGCACTGGGTGGCTCCGATGTCGTAATCCACGTTGCAGGTCTTGGAGCTCGGGGTGTAGCTCTCCGCGTGGGCCGTCACGCGGTACTCCCCCGGGTTCAGGATGCGCCAGTAATCACCGCCACTTGCTGCAGCGGGAGGATGGGTTCGGCTGCCTAGGAGTACCCCCTCCCAGGCCCCAGTCCTCCTGTCCGAGATCCCCCTAGCCCTCCCTCTGGGGGGCTCCAGAGGAGCAGGGACGTGCTGGGCAGGCCAGGCTTGCCTTGCCAACGGCACGTACAGATTTGGTGCCCCCCACCTCGGGAGGCGGAGCGGCGTAGGGGTATGCACTTGTGTACCTGTCTTCACTCCGTGGTTAATGCCGCTCACAGAGATGGTGGCGTTGGCGATAGGGATGCCCTGCTCGTCCATCACAACCCCCTTGATGCCGCGGTGAACCTGCAGGGGAGGCAGGGTGGGTGTCCACATGGAGAGCCCACTGGGTCTGCTGCTGCCCTGTCCCATGCACGAGGTCCCCTCGCCCTTCACCACCCTCTCCCCAAATGCTGCCCCACTCCTCCCCCTGCACGCCCCCCCCCCCCCCGGCAGCCCCCACACCTGCTCCATGAAGGTGAGCAGAGCTTCCTTGTTGTTCTCCCACTCTCGGGGCAGCTCACTCTCGTGAGGGAACTTGTCGCAGCCCAGGTAGATGGAGAGTTCCAGGCAGTTGGTGTGCAGGTAACTGAAGTCGTTGATAGCTGGGCAGGGCAGACACAGAGCCGCAGTCACCCCTGCCCACACCAGATGCCCCACCGCAGACCCTCCGAGGCTGACTCACTCCCAGAGCGGGGTTTCCACTTGGCCCCGTTGACGATGCCCATGCCGCCGGTGTAGTCCTGCGCTTGGCACCCTCCCCGGTAGGGCTCGGTCATGGTGAGGTGGGTAGAGGCGAAGGAGATGGACAGCCAGCGGAAGATGGCATGGTCTGGGGTCTCTTGGGCCTCAGATGCTTCTTCCTCGTCCTCTCCCCGGGCGGCTGCCATGGCTGCGGCCAGCAGCTGCTCCTGGCTGGGCGTGCGGGCCATGTCATAGGGGTAGGACACGAGCCGCTCACCGCCGTTCAGGTTCGCTCCCAGCACGAAGGGGTTCTTCTCCATCCAGGCAATGATGGCCCGGACCTCCGTGGACACCTAGGGTGGTCAGTATGTGAGGTGTGGGCCACAGCCTCCATCACCCTCCATGTAGACCCCATACTGGTACTCATTACCCCCTCAGTCCCTCCAAGGCCCTGCAGTCTCAGTGCCCGGGCTGGGTAACCCACAGCCCACCCCCAAGTCCGGAGCTCCAGGACCCCAGGGTCCGGGCTGCTCCCGCAGGCCCTGCTGGCCAGGCTGCAGCCTCACCGTGGCATCTGGAGACAGGTAGTGTTCAGGGATGGGCAGGTTATTGTTGGGGACCCGGTAGGGGACCCATTTCCTCTCCTCAGCTCCCCAGAGCACAGAGTTGAGATCCGGGAAGTCCTCATAGATGTCAAAGCCCTCCTCGGTCCACAGTCCCAGCGCCCAGTTCCCAAATTCTGAGCCCTGGGGGAGCAGGTGGGGGTCAGCATCAGCAGCCCACCCCCAGCCCTGCCCCACCCTAGCCCTGTCTTACCCCCTTTCCTCCACCCACCATCTGCGCTGCCACCTCGTAGCCGTCAGGGTTCAGCGAGGGCACCAGGTGGATGCGCGTGTCATGCACCAGGCTGCGCACGCGCGGGTTTCCGTCTCGGTACTCGCGGCACAGGTACTGCATTAGTAGCAGCAGCAGCTCTCGGCCTAGCACCTCGTTGCCATGGATACCAGCTGTGTAGCGGAACTCAGGCTCCCCTGTAAGGGCAGGAGCCTCAGCAACCAAGCAGCCTCCCGAGGCCTGAGGCCCAGGGGATCTGAGGAAGGACCCAAACCGGCCTCATCCCCAGAGGGGTGAGGGTGGCTGAGGACTGTAGGGCCCAGCAAGGGGCTCCAAAAATAGGTGGGAGGTGGTGAGCTGGAAACATCAACGGCGCAGACCCAGCTACGGTGCCAGGGCCTTGCCTCTATAATCTGTTGGGCGTGGGGAGGGCCAGGCCTCCAGGGGGCTGTCGGGGCCCTCACCCAACTCGTGATCCCCGGGGTTGTCCGAGATCTCCATGGCGTAGATCTTGAGCCCACGCGAGCTCTTCCCTAGACTGTATGTGCGGGTGATCGTGGGGCACTGCTCGTTCACCACCTTCATCAACTGGGTGCCAGAGAAGACACAGAGTTACGCAGCCCACCTACTCCCGCCACCCCCAGCCCACCCGCAGTGACCACACCTCTCCCACGGCCTGGGTCTGCTCTATGGGGAGGCTCCCCTGTTAGCCCAGTCCGTGGCCTCAGGACAAACACCCCAACCTGGCGCATGTCCTTATAGCTGTGGTGCCGGAAGTCCAGGTCGTCGGTGGTCAACACCTCGTTCTGTGCATAGTAGCTGTGGACAGCTGCAGAGGGTGGGCAGGCAGGGCCTTGAGCTGGCCACCTGCCAGCCCACCGCGGGTTGCCCCAGCTTCCCATCCATGCCCCTGCCAGCCCCCTGCACTCACGGGACATGGGGCACCCCAGCACCTCCAGGCGCATGCATAGGCTGCCGTTCCAGGTGAGTGGGTAGATGCGGATGAAACGGGCCACCACCGGCTCCGGGAGCTCGCTGAGCACAGGTGTGTCCTTGTCCACGTTCCCATGGAAGGTCTGGGAAGAGGCAGGCCTCAGAGCAGCCCCCAACCCCAGCCGAGAGCCCACCTGCGGTTCAGACGAGGGGCGTATAGAGCCGAGGGCTCAGGTGCCCACCATTTCCTCGTAGCCGTTGGTGTACATCACCCATGTCTGGCTGTCATTGCTGAAGCCCACGAAGAAGGAGGTCACGAAGTCGTCACTGGGGAGCGGATGGTGGTCAGGGTAAGGCTTCTCTCCCCGCCCCAGGTCCAGGCCCTCAGGCGGCCTGAGCCCCCTCTTCTGGGCCCAAGAACCTAAGAGCTAGCAGGTGTGTGGTGTTGGCCCGGATGTCGGGAGAGGCTGCCATGCCCGCTGCGTGGCCGTGGGCGATTGGTTTGCTTATCTGGACCCAGGGAACCGACCAGCCATAACCGAGGAGTGGCGGTGGGGTGGGGCGGGGGAGGGCCCTGGAAGGCCCACTGGAAAGTTCTGAACGGGACTCAGAGCTGTGCCTGGAGCCACCTGCCCCCACCAAGTGCCTGTGAGCCTGGTGGACTTACTGGATGCTGGAGTCGCGGCCCTGGGTGATGACGCCTGTGAACTTGGTGGTCCTTCTGGTGTCCACCTCGATCCACTGGGTCTGAGAGTCGTCCTCGGCACACCACGCCCCGTCATAGTAGTCGTCCTCAGTGTCGCCGGCCTGTCGGGGACAGCAGGGGGGCTGAGCAGGCAGGGAACCCCTACCCAGCTGGGAGATGGGCCCGTCCGACACCCACCTGCATGTTGAGCCGGCCACGCTGTGCCCCTAGGCCGTGGCGCAGCATGGAGGAGGACCGGATCTGGTTGTCCTCGATGCGGTGCGACTCCATCCCGATGGGGGGGCACTCTGGGGACACGGCACCCCAGGCTGGTGGCCCCCTGGCTCCGTCCCTCCCTCCACCGAACCCAGAATGGAGGAGCCCAGCACCCACTTCCCCTCACATCAGGGGGCGCCAGTGAGGGCAGCTGTGCTCCAGCCTGTGCTTCCCCACCCTGAGCCTCAGCTTCCCCCTCTGGAGAATGGGCTGATGATGCCAGGCTCCAGGGGACCATGGGGCTCACATGAAATCACAGGGACAGCCACCCCAGGGCCTGGCCGGTCCCAGGCATTGTCTGCATTGGGGCCATCTGCACACCTGCCTTGCGCCCCGAGCTCTGTCCCCTGGGGTCAGGCCCAGGACAGAGACACTCCAGGGCCTCTCCCTTTCGCGTTGCAGGACTTTAAGAGCAGGAAGGGGCTCTGGAGGCCTGGAGTGCCAACAGGAAATTCGGCTTTGGGACCAATGTGTGGCCTTAGGTGGGTCACGTGCCCCATCACCGTCACCCTGCGGCCACGGCACGGCCCCAGCGCCGTCACACCCGCCCTACAGCCTCCATACATGCCCATGGCAGCCCCGGCGCTCGTAGCTATGCTGCAGCCCTCACAGCCCCCCCCAGCCCCCCGCACCTATCCCGCTCCCCCGAGCCCCCCAGCGTCTCACTCACTGAGTTGCTCTGCTGGAGCCCACTCCTCCAGCTCACCCTTCCGGGGCCCTGGGGGCAACAAAGGGAGGAGGTGGTGCTGAGGGTCCCAGAGCAGCCAGGGGTCTGGCGGACCTCTCACGGGGACCCAGGTTGTGTGGGCCCAGCCCCCAGCCCCCAGAGACACACCTTTGTGGTCCTTGCCCTTCTCCACAGTCCATTTGTCATGCGTCTCCTCCTCCTTGGGCCTGCTGCCCTCCTTTTTGGGTTTCTCTGAAAGGTGGAAGCGGGGAAGGGCCTGTCGGCTTAGCCCCAGGCTAAGGGGGGCTTCAGGGGGCAGGTGGGGTGGGGGTCAGGCCTGCACGGGGGGCTGGGGGCAGCCTGGTTCCACTCACTCAGCCCCTCCTTCTCTTCATCTGTTTCCAGGCCAGGGTCAGGCTTCTGGGGCCTGGGAGGCCGGAAGTAATAGTCCACTGTGGGGAGGGAGAGCCCTGATGAGATGGCCCACCATGAGCCGGGGCTCCTACGTTCACAGGAGCCCAGTGGGCCGGACTGGGCACGCGGTGCACAAGGTGAGGAGGTGAGATCAGGGTGGGCCTTAAAGAGTCCAGATGGGCTGAGACGAGGAGGGAGGGTCCTCCTGGAGGGGGAGGCTGCTTGGGCACAGGTGGGGTGAGCGAGACCCCGAGGAAGTCACCAGCCTGGCCCCCCAGCAGGGCGTGGCCCAGAGAAAGGTGGGGAAAGGCTGGGCAGGGAGTGGGGCACGGACATCGGACATGCCCCGAAGGACGACTGGCACCTGTGGCAGGAAGGGGGGTCTGGAGGGCTGAGCTGGGGCCAAGGGGTTGATGGGGACCGAGGCCAGGAGGAGGGGAATGGGGTCCAAAGGGGCCGGGAGCAGGAGGGAGCGGAAGGCGGCATGGGAGTCCCGAGGGGCGAGGGGCGAGGTGGCCAGGACCGGAGCTCGGAGGGCCCGAGAGTGAAGCCCACTGGGGCTCAGGGCGATGGGGGGAAGGGCGAAGTTGGGAGCCAGGAAGACCCAGCCTGAGGGAGGAGATCAGGGGAGGGCGGCCAGGCCAGAGAGGGTGGCCAGGTAACTGCCACCAAGCTGGAGGCACAGGCAGCCCGTCCTTGGGATGCAGAGGGCAGGGGCCCTGGGCACTCACTGTCGTCGTAGTTGGGGATCACGTAGCCGTCCCCATAGTTGGGTGGCAGCGGCTTCAGAGGCGGCTCTGTGGAGGTGGGAGGCAGGGTTGAGCCGGAGCCCCCTCGCCTGGCACCCCGCCCCCCAAGTCTGCCCGCATCCTACCTATCCTCTCCTCCGGGGCCTCGAACCCCCGTCCGGGCGGCTCAGCCTTCTCCTCGGGGCGCTCGGGCCACAGCCTTTCCGGCCTTCTCCTGCTGGGGGGCGGCCTGGGCTGCTTCTGGCGCCGGATGTACTCAACTGGGGGAGAGGTGGGCGCTCGGAGCCGGGGGCCAAGGCCAGGGAGGGTGGGGCCTCCGGGGGCCGGGGGTGGGATCCAGGGGGGGAGGCGGGGCCGGCGGGGCCTGGGGGGCGGGCAGGGTCCTACTCACAGTCTTCGTAGTCCTCCCGCTCTATCTGGTCGTTGTAGTCCAGCGTGGGCTGCTCCGTCTCCTCCTCCGGCTCTGAGGGAGAGCGCGTGTGGCCGCCTCATCGAAGGCACTCCCCGACGCTGCCACCCCGGCCCACCCCGGAGACCCAGCAAGCCAGGGCGGTTGGTGCCCTGAGGCCAGGTGGCCGGCGCCCACTCACCAGGCTGGCGCTCCACGTCGGTCTCTCCTGCTGGGCCCTGCCAGGGATCTGGCAGGGGCCCGTCTGCAACACAAAGCCCAGGAGCAGGTGGACGGGAGGCCTGCCCTGACCACTGGCTGCACCGTGAGCCTCCACGAGACCCGGGCCCTGCCGACACCCCCTGAACAGCTCACTCCCGGGAGGCCCGGGCTGCTTTAGCTCTAAGCACCCTGCTGGCATTTCTGGGGGGCCAGAGAGCTGGACAGCTTTCTGGGGAGCCCAGGCCCTGCTGTCTGGGAGGACCTGCCGCAAAGCTGCCCCCGCAGGCGGGCACCCTCCAGGCTCAGAGCCCAGTGACGCTGTGGGCAGGTGGCTCTGGATGGGGCCCAGGGGACGGATCCCAGGACGGTGGAGAGCAAGCCCCCCCCCCACGAGGCTGCCAAGCACTCCCTCCCCAGGGGAGGAGCGGCACCGAGGGAGGGACAACTGTGAGGCCGCAGCGCCCACCCGGACTGGGGGCTCTGAGGGTCTGCGAGAGGCAGGGCCTCAGGGACCCGCCCTCAGCCCCCTCTCCCTGCAGCCCAGCAGGTCAGAGCCCCACAGTCTCAGAAGAGCCAGCACACACCTCCCTCCTGGGGCAGCTCCTCGAGGCCGGGGCTGGCGACTGGGGGCAGTGGCCACTTCGGGCTTTCGGAGGGGGTTGGGATGGGGGCCTTCTTCCCAGCCAGAGGCCTCTTGTTGGCCTTGGGTGGCTTCTCCTTGGGCTTCTTGGTGGCCTTGGGTGGCTTTTCCTTGGGCTTCTTGGTGGCCTTGGGTGGCTTCTCCTTGGGCTTCTTGGTGGCCTTGGGTGGCTTCTCCTTGGGCTTCTTGGGCGGCCTGGAGGACGCCTCCGGGGGCTGCTTGGTCGCCTTGGGGCCTTTGTCCTTCTTTCCTTTCTTCCCTTTGTCTTTGGCTTTTCCTGGAGGTGCTGTTCAAGATGCAGACTCAGGTAAAATCAATGAAGAACCCCCTCTATGCCCCATGTGCCCCACCCCCACCCCCGGCAGGGTGCCTACAACCTGGGCAGAGGGGCTGCTGTTAGCCCTGCATTTCCCAGATGGGGGAAACTGAGAGGTGAAGCCACTTGCAGTCATGGCAGAGCTGGGACTGGCTTTCCGTCACCACCACACCTTGGCCTGGGTAGCTCAGCTTCCCAGGGGGTAGGCCCTTGTCCTCCCATCTGCCGAAACCTCCAGAGGAGCACCTCACGATCCCCTCTTTCACCGTACAGCCCCTCGGCCAGTCAGGGCCCACTATTCTGTGCTGGGCACAGAAGGGGCAGAGAGGTGACTAAGCCATCCGGGCCTGGGGAGAGTGCCCAGTCTAGAGGGGGAGACAGTCTCATCCCTGCCAACTGCCACACGAAGTAAAGGGCATGGGCCCGGGGCCTCTCTGAAGCTAGAAAAGCTTCAAAGAAAAGCGACACTCATGGGCTATCCCCTATCCAGGGGTAAGGAGTCTGGGGTGGGTTGGAAGCCATAACCATAGGGGGTCCTGAGGCCACACAGAGGACAGATAGGATAGGTGGGCACTGCAGCTGCTCGCCCATCTCGGAGTCTGGGGGAGGGAGGAAGCAGGGGCAGGGCCTAGGGCTGCCTATAGGAATCCTCCAGGCCCCTGAGCAAATGCTGTTGAAAATGTAATGGAGGAGTGGGGGCTACATGACCGAAATACTGGAAAATCTACAAAACGCAGACAGTCAGAAGAAACAGAGCTGCCACAGCAGCGTGCAAGAGGCCGGGACAGCAATCTCGACCGGAATGGCGGGGGAGGCCGAGATGGGTCCCAGGGAGGAGCCAGGAAAGATCTAGAGCGGGATGAAGGGGAGGAGCTGCTGACCTCAGGAATGATGGATGGTGCCCTGGAGTCTCCTGGGAGAGAGATCAGCAAGACCCTTGCCCACCCTCCGGAAGGTCAAAATAAACAGCTAAGATTTATTGACAGCTGATTATATAAGAGGCACTAGGCTAAATGCTTTGGTGATGCATCACCTCGTTTAATTTTCACAATAACCCAGGACTACTGCCCAGTGCCTCTGGAGGCCTTGTGGAGACGAGGGTCTTCTGCAACGCCCTCCCCCGGCTCTGTGCTCCTGGAGTAGGAGGCCAGGCAGCAGGGTGCTGGGGATCCTTCCCAGGGAAGGCTGGAGGCTGGGACTCTGGCAGTGGTGTGGGCACGGCCAGTGTGTGCCACAATCAGACTGAGTGGCCCCATTAGGACGGCAGGGCCGTTCCCGTTCAAACTGACCTGGGCAGGGGGCAGCAAAGTCCCCAGTTAGTTCATGTCTAGTCCCTCTGGGGGTTTGGGGCTGTGCATGACGGATTGGGAGGACCCAGTTCCACTGCGCAGTGGACCTGCTGGATGCGTCTCCAAACCCAAAGGGCTCCAAGCCAGCACTGACCTCTGCCTGGCACAGTGTCCCGCCAGATATCTGGGCTCTCTTGTGCCTTACAGAGCCATTCCTCACGCTGGGCAGACTGGACCTCGGCCAGACACCACCGAGGCCCGCCATTCAAGCCTGAGGTGCAGGTCTCCCCGAGGCCCCCCATCACACCGAGGGCCACCCCTACCCGGTGCTCTTACCCTCTTCGGCCACCCCCGCACGCGCCCCCGGCTTGCCCCCTGTCTGGGCTTTGCGGACGGGAAGGGTGGGTTCAGGGGGTGGTGGGGCCTCCACGTCGTCCTCCCGGGGCTCGGACTCCAGCTCCGACAGGAAGCCCTCGAGGAACTCCTCGATCTCGTCGTCGGTCAGCACAGTCTGCGGGCGCCCCCCGGGGCACAGTGCCAGCAGCGCCAGGAGGCAGCCGAGCAGGGGTGCCCCGCGCAGGACCGCCATGGTCGCGGCCCGCACGGGGGGCGGTGGGGGGGGGGCCTCCGGGGAGGGGCGGGCGGGGGCTCCGGGGAGGGGCGCGGGGTGGGGGCTCCGGGGTGGGCAGGGGACTCCGGGGTGGGGCGCTAAGGGCTCCGGGACGGGCAGTGGCTCAGGGGTCGGTGTGGGCTCAGGGATGGTCTGGGGGTTCCGAGGCGGTGGCGGCGGCTGGGAGCTCAGGTCCCGCGTGGCGCGCTCCCGCGCGGACTGCCTTCTCCAAAGCGCCAGAGGCGGCCGGGGCGGGGGTGCTGGGGCTTCCGGAGCCGGCTCCCCCCACCCCCGGGGAAGGAGGAGGAAGGGGAGGAGGAGCCGGGCGTGGACGGAGGGGCTGCGGGGGGAGCCGAGCAGTCCCGGCGCCGCGCGCGCTTGGAACTTCCCGGAGTGGGAACTGCGGGCTGTGTCCCGGGCCGGGGCCCGCGCCTTGGAAGGAGGGCCGCAGGGAGGGAGCGTCGGAGGGGACGCGAGGTCCAGAGGGTGCGGATCGGAGCGCTCCGACGCCCCTGCCCCGCGCCGTCTGCGACACCGCCCCCAAGCCGGATGGGAACTGGAGGCGAGATGCCCCAGACCGGCTGGAGGTGAGCGGGACCCCTGATGGCAGAGCCAAGCCACGAACTCAGGCCTCGGGGACCCTCTCCATCTCGGGACCCGCAGAAGTATCCCCACCTATCCTTTCCGCCCTCTGGAGCCTTGGCCTGGCAGCTCTGCCAGCTGTCACCAGCCTTCATTCAGACATCCAGCTAACCTCCCAGGTCCATGAGAGCCGGGCCCTGTGCTGGTCCCCCTGGGAGGGACCACACTTTGGGAATTCACCCTCTAGCGAGGGGGACAGGTGCAAAACCGCCCTCAAGGCAGGCTGACTGCTCTGCTGGGAGTAGGAGCCCCCATGTAAGATTGCCCCTCCCCTCCCAAGGGACTGACATACTAGGTCAAGTTTGGAGGGAGGGTCAGAGATGGAGCAGGGAGGGACGGACGAGATGCCTTTCAAGTTGTATTAAACTGTGTGTGTCATTCATAGGAATGGGCTGTCAGGGGTGTGGAGGGACTCAGCACTCATACAGCAATTTCCATACAAGCTCAGGGGGTTCTTGCCCTCCCCTGCACTCCCAGCAACAGAGGGAGGGATCCCAGATGAAGAGCCCGGCACGGAGCAGGGAGGCAGCCAGCTGGCTTATGTGGCCCCCTTCTAGCAGATGGTACAGCCTCAGGTG